GGATCTGAGTTCTTCTGCTACGACTTGTCCTTGAACCCGATTCAAAGCAGCAGTGATGAAATCACATTGTCATTCAAAACCCTACAGAGGAATGGACTGATGCTGCACACGGGCAAATCAGCTGATTACGTCAACCTGGCACTGAAAAATGGGGCTGTCTCACTCGTCATTAATTTGGGGTCTGGAGCCTTTGAAGCTCTTGTGGAGCCAGTCAATGGGAAATTTAATGACAATGATTGGCATGATGTCAAAGTAACAAGGAATCTACGTCAGGTAACAGTACAGAGGGTGATGCGGAGACTCAGTAAATGAATTAAAACAAATGCACTTAAATCATTACCATCATACAATACATATTATTTCCAGACATTATGATTGGATTGCTAAATTGAATCATGGTGGTTTATGGTGGAGACTAAAACAGAACCACAAGCGAGCAGGGACATCTAGATTTGAATCAAGACCTCTATTAAGTTACAGTTTAAGGGAGAAAAGAAAGACAGCATTTTAAACAGCATTCAAAATGTTCAGGCTTGGTATTTATTTGTGTTTAATGGTTTCTTCCTTTCCCCAAGTTAACATATAGTGTATTACTATGACTTGTGTACCCTAACAAGCACTGTTTTTAGTACATTAGTACTCTTGATATTTCTATTAAGAATGATCCCACTGTTGAGGGGTTATTTCATGAGATAGTTCATTGGCTCTGGAGAATATAAAACTATTCAAATCAGCTAGAACGTTTTAACCTACACTGTTTTATAAATTGTCCAATTTTCAAACAAACTGAAAGAAAACATACTGGGTATGTAAAGCATGACTGAGTCTGAGGTTACGCTTTCATGCTTTTAAATTAAAGTTCTAGCACAGGCATATCTCTCCAACAGGATCTATAGACTCTAATGGACTCTCTCCCATGGCCTTGAAGACTCACCTCTACATTAATAACTCCTTGGAGAGAGTGTAGTGACAGTAAAAAGATTTTTTATTAATTAGACTTCTTCAGAAATCCCATTCAGCAGCTTGTGCTACTTACATTCCTTAACACCAGAGGGTGTTCTATCCACGGCATCCTACACTTATGCCATTTTCCAATGGCGATGATTTTCACAAATGGCAGATTGGTCGGGGTATTTGTCGACCTGGTTCTTGCCTAACTTTTATCAAAACCAGATGAGATGAAAGGAAGGTATAAAGCAGATCTTAGTAGATGTGTAGACCATCCATTTGCAAGAAAAGATCACCATGGAGGTTAGTGGATGCTTTTATGTTGTGTACAGATCTAACTACCACTGATTTGTACCAAAGCAGCATGGGGTCAGGATGCGTCCACTACTCTAAATGGCAGACCATCCTTGGATAGGATTGTAGTGCCAGTCAGTGACACTCGTGACAAATCTGAAGAGAGAGGCTTGTTGAGACACACATCATTGTATTGTGACTTGCAACGATTACAACTGGCTCCCACTATGTCAGCTGATGTACGCCACTACTGTTTCAGTTGTTGGTTGGAATTTTGCTTTCTGCACTACAGTTGCAAGACCTGATGACTACTTCCATGTGCAGTAGGTTGATATGTTATACCTAAGTCTACCCAGGGAGTCAATTACAGCAGAACCTGGGTTTTTTTTTTTTTCCAGGGCTGCAGGTCCTGATAGGATACAGGTGAAAGACTGAATTGGCAATGTGCTATTTGGGATCTAACCCAAGTGTACAAACTATTCCTACAAGTGTCTCATCAAGGAAACTCAAAGGAGCCAACGGGCTGAGCACTATCCTAGGGCAAAGGACCTGCATACCCATAAGCAATGACCTCTGACCCTCTAAATCCTAAATATTAATTTCCAGATTCGCTTTTCAGCTGGGTTCAGAAACTCTGCACCCAAAGTCCAGCTCCACTTCTGGGCACAGCACCTGTTTAACATGGGGGCAGGAACTTCTCTTTCAGGTGACTGAAGATTGTAATCTGATTAGGTGCTGACTCAACTGGATGATATGTAAACATTACCCACTCTGGAGACTAACCCCGGACATTATCTCGGTAGAAAAAATAGATATTTGCAGGAAATACTCCCAGCAAACAAAACTGGAGGAATTGTCTGTGTCAAGCAAAGATGAAAATATTGAATGGATCACTTAGGCTGAATAATAAACCGGTTGTATCACTTTACTTCAGCTATAACAGTTACAATTTGCAGTATGTATAGTATAGTATAAGTGGAATCCAAAAAAAGGTCTCATATTCCTGTATTGTTTCAGTATTCTGAATTATATATAAAGGGCTGCTTTGTTTGGCTTTCAGTAGCCTAGTGTGTAGACATAAGATTTCCAAGCCAATACTGGCCTTTGTCTCTTCCAGGCCAATACTGGCTAAGAAAAACCCATGTGCCTGCAAGTAGTTGAGGCCCACAGATTTTTTGCACTGTCTGGAGAACCACCCAGAAATGTGGCCTGTTTGTGGGAATAGCAGTACCAGACGAAAACTATGGCCGTCATTGGTGCCAACGCGGAGGTCCTTGAAACCATTCTGAGAGAAATTCCACTGCTACTGCTGCTACACAAAACTCTGTAGTAAAAAGGCAGTTTGGGTGCTCTTAGACACTACAGATTGTATGTTGATATGCATTTGCTGCAGATTACTTGCCAATGTAGTAAAGCTGCGAGATGTGCAGGAAGGGTCTTGATGTATAGAACCAAGGAAACCTGATGAAGACATCTGGGATATAAAGGTGATGTCAAGTAGCATCTTTGAGGCCTGCAATAACTTATAGCGTGTACAAGTTTCATGGCAAGTATATAGATCCTGTTAGACTGTTTACCCTGTGTGAAATAATATGCCGCAGACTTTATAAAGATGAAATTACAGTATCAAACAGGATATTGCTGGTTATTTTTAACCTCATACGATCTTTAGAAAAGTCTACAAGCACATCATTAAGTCAAAAATCTCTAGATGTGTTCCTGCTCATTTGGTGGGAAATGTTTTTCTTCACCTCAGTACCAAAGCTGCTTCTTTTGCATAATCAGCAAATTGATTATTGGCAAACCTAAGGATTTGGCCAGCTTGAACATTCACTGCATTCAAAGTGTGAACGAAAACCAAGCATATTGAGTGCATGCTCTGCGGGGGAATCAAAATTGCCATCCTCCTCATTCTGTGTCAGGGTCTTCTTTGCTTTGTCTCATTGCAGTAAAGTGATCCTAAAGTTCATCAATAAGACCAAACGGAGGTAAAGTATTGTATGAGCGTCGGGAAGTCTGATACCCTGGATTGGTCTCAAGCATTAAAACCAAGTACAAAAGAAGGCAAATATTAGTACCAATAAAAAAACAAAAAAATAAATAAAGCTTCAAAATGGTCTTGAACTTGGGACTTTGTTACGAGGGTCAACTGATGTGCTTTAGGCATTATTTCTTATGAACCATTTGATGTCTGTCAGTCATAACCTTTTGTCAGGACTTGGGTAAGGAAGTTATTTTCTGCTACTCAATGGTCTGGTCACATACAGAAAATGGTGCAAAAACGCCATGAGGAACTCAGGGAGTCACTGGTTGAGCTCTAGCACCTCTTGTGGAGCATTCTTGTTATTTCCTTGGTCTGCTTTTTTCTTGTTAAACTTATTTTGCCCTTTTTTCTCTATGTTACTAACATGCTTTGGAAACAAACTAACATCATTCATGGAATGTGTCATTCTACTAACCAGTATGGGTTTTGCCGTTTAACAATGTACTAACAGTATTGACCATCATATTATTTGAGTAACAATCGTTATTCTGTTCACAGTTTTTAATTTCCTTTCTCCCCCCTTTTCCACAAAGCACTCAGGCATTGGACACGCTATGGTAAACAAACTACATTGTTCGGTAGATATCATTCTAATTGTTTCTTAGTTTGGGTTTGCCGTGTGTTTCTTTTCTTTCTTTTTTTACTGTAGACGTCATTTACAAAAAAAGGGAAATTGCGGTTGGTACTCTTCTGCTTACTTTTCGAATCCTTTTTAATTTCTTGATTCATTCATTGGTTTCGCCCTCTTTATTTCACTTGTTTCCTGTCCAATTCTGTTTGATCCACCTTTTTAGGAGCATCATTTTGAGCCTTTTGCATCAAGCTGTGGTTAATAATGAGGACTCCTCTCCTGTCTGGCTGGCCTGATGCTCTTTGGCTCAGCCAGTTGTATCCCCATTCACTTTGCATGGCATGCACTTTGACTATGTGTTGCAAATGTCACACTGCCCATTTGTCAACATGGATGTGACAGTTGAGCTGTGTTTGTCATTTCTTCTCTGGTGCTTTCTTTTTTCTCTTTGTGGTTTTGCAGTGTCTTTGCGCTTTTGCATGCATCTGAGATCGTGGCAAGTGTCAAGTTACTGATTCTGGATCCCAGTTCAAAATCTGGGAAAGTTTTCTTTTTGTATGCTCGAAAACAAAAAGAAAAGACAAATGCATGCATGCTGTTGTTTCTCTAATACCCTCAGTCATTGTCCTATACTAAAAGGTGATTGTGCTTTTCACAGCATGTGCTCCCTCTCTAACCTAGTGGCACGTTCTGATTTCTTTTGTAGAACTGCTGGACGTACTAATATGGAATAATAGTTAAACTAACCTAGATAACATTTTACTAACACCATTTTTGTGTCTGCTAAACTATTTTTAAGTTGCAGTAGGGGCAATACTAACACTGTAGTATGGGCAGTTCACTAACTCTCTAACTAGAATAGCATTCCTTTGAAGGCTTGCAGTCTTCCAACTAATCAAACTGGACAAAATAATAATACAAAACAAGAAAAAAGACAATGAAAACAGACATGAAAATGGGTTTCCAAAATAAATAAACATATAGGGAAGTCTGTCATAGACGACAAAAAAAGAAAGGCAACAGCATTACAGTGTATAGGCTGTCTGAGTATAGCGTGTCCTTTCCCTGTGCTTTGTTGTCTAGGTTACAATATCCGTGGATGGGATTCTGACCACCACCGGATATACACAAGAAGACTACACCATGCTAGGCTCTGACGACTTTTTCTATGTTGGGGGCAGTCCTAGCACAGCGGACCTGCCTGGATCTCCAGTTAGCAACAACTTCATGGGCTGCCTCAAGGAGGTAAACAGCACTTCTGTGTGAACTCTGAGGCTGGTGGGTGTACAGGATATGACTGACTTCACCTTAGGACTCCAAAACAGACCCTTCCACCCACATGCTGACCGAGTCTCATCCTTAACACTTCGTCTAGTTTGTTTCTCCTCTTTTGCTCGCACACTCTGACACAAACTTTTTCTGACACAAATTTTTGCCTCGACTCCACATACAATGTTGTACACACATGCGCGCACACATGACTGGTGTGCCACACACCCACACATATAGAGCTCTGTCTTGGAGTGGAATTTACCACAGGCTTCATACAGCTCTGTCAGGTGCACTTCAAAGAGAAGCAGCGATCCTGAGATCAGGCAGTTGAATTTTCATGAGCAGTCAAGGCAACTGACACACTTCACCTCATCATTGTTGAGGAGTTTGCTATACCACACTGATATTACAATTGACCACTTGTCCAATGACTAACCTTATTGCTGCATGCCAGTAGTATGTGTGTTTGCACAATGGTAAAGTACTAGAAATGTGCAGTGTGAGGCATATGGGCCACGAGCCTCCCCTTGAAAGTTCAGAGCACAACGAGGTGAAGACATGCACATCAGTCTAAAAGACATGCTCTCAGATGATGTATTAAATTAAGTACATTCTGTATCCCAATGCTTCACAGTTTAATGAGCCATTTGAATCTGGCTCATGACTTCCAGTACATGTCATTTGTCACTAGCCCATTTACTTAAGTGTTGTAGCATTCAAGAAGTATGCATATAGTGTGAACTTTATCCCTAGAGAAGCAGAGGAAGAGGTAATTTCTCCACCAGAGGGTTCATAAGTTATACCTTTCACTGTAATCTGTACAGTAGTGATTTTTTTTCTGTTTAATAGGTGAATTCTGACCTAAAGCATTTGCTTCAGGAACCACCGGGGTTATACAAAGACATCTACCAGGCAAATCTGCAAAGTACTGTAAAACGATCCATTAATTTATCTTTTAATTTCAAAAGCCCCATTTTTCTCATTGCTCTCCCTTTTCTTTTTCTTTCTTTTTTTTGTGTGGAGCTTCTCTTGCTCCTTTAGTGTCCTACATATTGTATCTTACCTCAAGCACAGGCTGTCATCCTCCGTGAACCTCTTGGAGGGGTCTGAGGCAGCTCTGTTTAATGAGCAGACAGGGTGTGGACCACATGTCCACATGCCATGTACAGCTCATTAGAGGTCTGGTTGTTAAGGGGACTGTCTCGGTTAACTGCATGTCTCCGGGGTGTTGCAGATGTGGTGACAACAGGAATGGAATTGGTGCACCCCGAGCACGGTCATCCGCCCCACCGAGCTACCCTCTCGGCTCCTGGCCAGCCGCACTATAGCGGTTGCTCTCACTGTCCTGAGATCAATGTATTGAACTCCTCAAGAACTTTTAAATATGGTACAGAGCTGTGATAGCTCCCAGGGGAAGAGAGACAAACTTCATTCCTCTTTCGTTTATTTGCTCATGGGGTCATTTAATATTCTTTATTTAGTTTTACCAGACAAATGCAGATGTCAATAACAAATAAAAGAGACTAAGCCCATATACTGTAAAATCTATTGTTGGTTCAATCTACTTGATCCTTTAATTTATGCCTGGGAATTTTAAGACATTGACAAACACTATGCATCATTTCATTCAGCTCGCTGAATTAAACAGAAGTGCTGTCTGAGGTCACCTTCTAAATATGGTGTGATAGCATAGGAACGGTGGGTTAACAGCATGTGCTGTAGGCTCTGATTGATGGTACATTCCCAAGGGGCCTGTTGCAGTATTTGTGTGCAGATTCCAGTCTGTGTTGCCACGCCTGCCTGTTGGTTCTGATGGCAAAACAAACGGTGGTGCAGTAATAGCTCAGTTGTCAAAGCCCTAGTTTGATGACAAATTAGTGCAGCACTACTAGTGCAGCACCAGTCGTAGCTCAGACCAAAGCGCCTTTGACTCTGAAAGGTGCCCTTTGTCTTGACCATAAAAAATTGATTTGGGTTTATTGGCTGTATCTGTTGCACCTTTGTCTGCATGACTCAAGTCCAGCAAGCACAGATATCATCATTTATACCTTTACTACTTTTTAGATTCTTTCTTCAGACAGAACATTCTTGTTAAATTACATCTTCTATTCCACTTCCTATTTCTATAATCTCTAAAACATTCCATTTGGCTCTGTGTCATACTCAGGAATGTGCTGTACTGTACGTTTTCTTATGAAGCGAAGATAAAGATGCGGGAATAAAAGCTTGGCATTATCGGTTTCTTGATTTCTTTGCAGTTAAATGCAGCCTGATACAGTCAGTCACAAAGCATTTATAAGAAAGTAAGCCTGAGCTTACCTGATTCTGATGCACCGCTATGTGCTTCATCTACCTGAACAGTTAGACACAGTAGATCTGATTCAGTGATAAACATAATTCTCCATGCAAATGCAATCCCATCGGATGTGTCCCGGTTTTCAGGTGAACGCTAAGCATGACAGCAAATAAAAAACATAGCTTGTGTTTTCCACAGCTGTAACTCATTTGATTTGGCCCAATGAAAGCAATATAGAAATGCCATTACAAGTCTTTTGTTATGTTAATACAGCCGCATGCTGGAGTCATAATAGGGCTATCCATCACTTGATAACCTTATCTCCAATTAGTGGCACATGAAGCAGTGTGGAAGGGATCCTTGACTGTGCTTGTGCCCCCTGGGGGGAGTTGTTAAATATTAGTTACTCCTTTATCCCTTTGGCTGCCACACTATTGACATCTTTTTTGTTGTCTTTATAATATTTGCTTTAGCAAACCGATTGGCACCTCATATTTGAACACATCACAAGTGTATGTGATGAAAACGTGATGCCAGCAGTGATGTTCAAATAAAGAATTCTGACAATCACAAAAGTATTAATTAGCTGTTTGTAATGAAGGAAGTAAGTAGATAGAGGGATCCATGCTGTTTCAGCTGCACTACTAGATACTCTTTCATTAAGGAGATTGGATAATGACAGGGTTAAGAATGTCTCAATTTCTTATTTATTTATTTCTTTTTATACAAGACTGTTGCCAATTACAATAGCACGTCTGTTTGCTTCTAAACAATGTTCCATTCAGTGCCCACTTAAATAAACTGTAGCTGTGGCTTGGTCTGTAGAGGTGTATTGTGATCGATATTTTAGAGATTTATTTCATGACAACCCCTTCCTCTGTAGTTACAACAGAACTCAATATTCTTCTTGTGCTGCCTTTTTGAAACAGGAGATTGAAGATGAGCGTCATGTGCATGGATTTGACCAGTGAGACAGCAGTAAATTAAAAAAAAAAATTACCAAGTTAGTAGATTGGTCAGTTCATATGTGTGCTATACATGTGATAATGATCCTCATCTATATTCAATTGGTATTTTAATGACATGGTTCTTTTTTTTTTTTTGTAATGAGCTGCTGCTTCACACTTCTGAACATAATCTTTACAGCATCTCAAAGGTCACAGCACAAATGTTAAGCCCTGTTTGGTTGACAGTGTCTGAGAATATAAACTGCTATTGAGGTTTTCTGCATTCAAAAGATGTGGATTTTTGCATTTCATCATTTTTTTTAAATGATGTGCAGCATACTGAATGGTGCAGTGTGTATGTGTCAGCTCATGCACTAATTTTTCTTGCCTTCCTTTAGATAGGCATATCCATCATCTGCCTGCTTTTATTCCAATCACAGACTCCAACTGGGGCCTTAATCAGCATTTTACATCACACCTGCAATCAAGGCACTAGTTTAGATTTATCACCCCCCATCTCACTTTTCACGTAGAATCCCATGAGAATCTAACTGATGAAATTGTTTTCCGCAAACTGTTATCACAATTACTTTTTCGAAATCCAGGCTGTCTCTTTGTTTACTTGACACTGAAATCAAAATGCGTGTCTCACTTATTTACACTTCGCCCAGCCAGAGTACACGTTGGCTTGTTGTGAAGGCTTCAGATGGGGAGCAAAGAAAGCAGGGCGATGTGACTGACATTTGGTGCCACGTAGACACAGTTCCTCTCAGCATAGGTGCAGTGTGACAAAGATGACCAATGGTTGAGGCATGCAAACCCTGCTTATGACACACTGTCCTCAAGGATAAAATGCCACAGGGACAACTGCTGTTTATTTTTACAATATTAGATTCCCTTTAACATTTACAGCTTTTACTTTGCAGATGAAATATGCAACTGTATGTACGACTGACGGATAAACCTTCTTTCTCTACTCCCAATTCAGGTTGTGTACAAAAACAACGATGTCAGACTTGAGTTGTCTAGGCTGGCCAAGCAGGGTGATCCCAAGATGAAGATCCACGGTACTGTGGCCTTCAAGTGTGAGAATGTGGCCACCCTAGACCCCATCACATTTGAGACGCCCGAGTCTTTCATCATCCTCAACAAGTGGAACGCTAAGAAGACAGGCTCCATCTCCTTTGACTTCCGCACCACCGAGCCCAACGGCCTTCTCCTCTTCAGCCACGGCAAGCCCAAGCAGCAGCCAAAGGATTCCAAGAGTCCCCAAACGCTCAAGGTGGACTTTTTTGCCATTGAGATGCTGGATGGTCATCTGTACTTGCTGCTGGACATGGGCTCAGGAACCACAAAGACCAAGGCTGTCAATAAGAAAGTCAATGATGGCGAGTGGTACCATGTTGACTTCCAGCGAGATGGAAGATCAGGTAATTTTAAAGATCACTAACAATATCTTTAGAAGAAGAACATGCAGCAGGAACTTGTTGGCCCCTGTTGCTACATTTACAGTGGCCTTGAGACCTCATTACATCTAGGCGTAAAGAAAAAAAAACACATGCAAACTGACAAAACACAAGAAAAGGAAGAAAACGTCTTATCATTCTGGCAACATATATGCAGTATATCTGCATGTGTTTTCTTTAGTTGCAGCGTGTTAGTCTCCCAAGGCCTCTCCATACATGCATGTTTGCTTGTGTATGTAAGATCACAAAGTACTCTGTATTTAACTGCCTCGTACAGGCTCCTACATATAATACAGCATTCTGCAGAAACCTAGAGTGGGAGCTCTGCTGTGCACTATCGAGATAAATTATTTAACTGCAACAAAAGTACTAGTGTGGCATCACATTTATATTTTCTGTGAAAGAAAATATCAATTACTACACCAAGGATGATGTTACACCAACCTCTGGAAACTTCCAAATTTGGGCACACTGAATGCTTGTGCTACACATTGAATGTAAAAAGGTTTTGATAGCTGTGACCTATCTTCAGATAGCGGCCGTATGTCGTGCTTCCAGACACATATTTGCCACAAAATAACTTTGCCTCCTCTCACAATGTGTCCTCTAAGCCCCGGGTTGCCCTGCTCTGGTCCCTGTTGATTTGCTTATCTAAGCAGCAATTTGTTAGTGTGAGCTTAGAGCCAAGGCATTGCAATGTCATGCTGCAAATTAGATATACCCCTTGACCATGTTTTCCACTCCATCTCAAGAGGTGGAAATTAGATTAACTGTTTCATTACCCCCCAAGCAATACTGTGTTGCAGCTTTAAATTGAGCTGGGTACAGTGTTAAAATAGTGATAGGACCCATTCATTTTTACAATTCCATATTCAGCGTCAATAACCAGTGAGAGATTTCTTTCTTTTTTTTTTTTTGGTAAGATTAGGGAAACATTCAGGTCTAATACTCTGCTTGAGGTGACAGAATACAGTCGTATACAGTACTGAGCGGCTCTGATTGAACTCAAACAAGAAAGAAAACTGCGGTGACTTCTCAAAATGACATGTACCTCAAACATTTAGTTATGGTAGACCAAACTATAAGACACACTGTCTTGCTAAATTAGATTGTATTCATTATCCGTCTAGTAACCTCCTATCATCCACCCCCACATACTTACATACAGTACACACATGCACACACACTAACACATGCACACACAACCTCAAGCTCACTCGTCAAGCTCTCTCTACTCACTGTTCTTTCTGTCTACCCTGCCTAAGTTTCCATGGAAACAGGAGGTGGTCTCTCCCAGGACTGAGACAGTTACTGCACAGTGCTGTGCTGAGCTGTGCACTAATGACATTTCAGAATAACTTTTCTTCCTATCCTCAAGTCAAAGGCGTCAACACTTACGTAGTGGAGTGTAAAGGAGACATAAAAAGGTCCCTGCAATACGATGACTTCCAGAAAAGAACAAAATTAGAACAGCTAGACGCTGCTCTCACATGCAGTGCTTCAAATTACAAAGCAATTTTCAAATTTAGGCAGTGCCATTCTGTTTTGGCCGCCCCTTCCATTTAACTCAATTATACAGTCCTCTGAAATCTAAAATCTTGCATCTCTATATTCCTATGAACATTACAAAGCACTGTTGTTTACAGTGTGTAATGATGTGTGCCCTGCACCTCAAATGGAAGCACTGGAATTTTTGCACTTCCGTTGTACTGAATAGGCCTCGTGCGATTTCCATTCCCCCAGGATACATGTAACTTTAATGGTGCATTAAATAGCAGATTGTGCAAATAGAGTGACATAAAAACTTTCATAATAGCTTTTCTGAATGGAGATTTTTCCTGTGTATTTTTTTCCCCCATTAATTATTGACACATTGATATATGAATAAAAGCAGAACAGGAAGCCTCAATGAACATAACAAATCCCTGACAACATATTATGCAGCTCTAAAAGTCCACATGTGAAGCTCAATGTAAGTCCAGTCCCTCCTACGACATAATGCGAGCCTTTCTCTCCACACCCCAGTGCCCTTTTGTTATACTTGTTAATATTTGATAGAATTAAGGTAATTTTAAAGCATAAGTAAAGAATTCACTAGTCTCCTGAGAGCGGGAGTCACGAAACATATGGTACTCTCAGCTTTTCATCTGTGTGTCAGATGTTTTATTAATACACACCACCAAGCACATCACTCATAACAAAAGTGCAACACAACAGCCAGACATAATTATCTGCAGCCCGGTCCTCCATGTGCAACACTTCCTGCAGCCGTGACAATGGCAGATAATGATCCCTGCCCTATTTAGTTTAGGCGGCTCTTCCTGCAGGAAACAAGCCTGCAAATGGACTCTCGCTCTCAGACAGCATCTTTTAACCTCAATGCATTAGAGACGCTAAGAGACACTCTGCTTTTAAGTGAGGGCTTCTGGGCTGGGAGTGCTTTGGGTCACTCATCAGAGACATTACACGGACATTGCTGTGTTGCAGCCCCACTTCCTGCGAGGGCACACGCACCGCTACTTCGCACACAAGCAGCGAGCAAACAGACGCGCGCACACACATATAGACAACACACTCCCCATCCTCGCGGCCCCCCTTGCAAGCTTCTCTCTCTCTACAGAGAATCCAATCACATAGAGAGATTTGGCCGTATCGCGCTAACTGGATTGTGGTAATCCCCTGTCTAACATGTTTTGGGGATGTGTGAGTGGGGTTAGGGGACATCATGCCAAGTTGAGCCTCGCTGCTGATGTAGAAAGTGTGAGAGAGATCTGAGCTGTCATTTGGACCCCTACCTTCAGGTTTGATGATGGAGTACCACTTACAGCTCAGCCCGTAGAGAAGAGCAGAGGGAGAGACAGAAATGTGGTCACTGTTTCAAAGTTGGCTGCAAGTGCTGATCTTTGCCGTCGTCCTCATTTATTGCCCACATCATCATTTTGATCAACTTTCCTTTACTGTACATTTTGTACTTGCTTCTCAAAGATATTATTTGCTGCTGTGTTCTCTCATCTGATTTCTTATCTGTTATCATATACCCCTCCCTCATCTTCTTTCCAGACATCTTTATCTCCATGTTCTCATCTTGTTCAATATCTCCTCCTCTTTTATGCTCGGTAGCATTTGTGGAGACACATCCCCTGCCCCTTCTGGCTATGAATAATGTTCCAAGCATCGGTAGTCCTGCAATGCTCGTGTATGTATTGTGCTTCCCATGCTATAGGCATGGTGATGGCACATGTCCCCATGGGATTTTATATTGCCTTCTGACTTAACATAGCTTGACTATGTTTACACACATCCTTACAGGACTTTGACAAGTGAGCAGAGCGCTCTGAGCAGATGCCTGAGAGATGCTGACATCATTCTCTTGTCTCCCACTTGCATGAATGTAGACAGACATGCTTACTGCAGACTTGCAGCGACCTTGTTTGCTGTTTACGACTGTAATAACACTTAAGTATAGATACTTTAAGATTTAAAGAGGCCATCAGCTTGATGATGACTCCTTCAGTATTTACTTTGTGAATGCATTATTCACAAAGTAATTTTGCACACCGCCCGTGATAGAGGGGGATCTGACAAAATTTGAGTGCAGATACGTCCCTTACAGTTCACGCTGACCACGCTCGTGTTCATTCTTCAGCCGGGCACCTGCTCTACTCCGAGAAAAGTTTTCCTGCTAATGAGTTTGATGTAGTGAGCTCGTTAGCTATAACCTGAAGGGAGCTGTTCTGGCTGCGTGATGGGTGGTTCATGCCAAGTGTGCAAAGCTTGGAAGTCTCAACAGCTGTGGCTGGAGAGAGCAGGGGCAGTGGGTGGCGGCAGGAAAGTGCTGGAACAGATGCCTGGGGCCAAGGCCCTGAGAAAAGAGCTGGAACATGTTAGTGGGACCAGGTTAATCATTGTGCACTAGGTCCTTAGCTGTCTCTTTCAAGCATTTCTGCAAAAGGCCAGCTCACCTTGACCATAAAAAAAACATACATAACCAAGATCATTATTAGCATTTGGAGTGATTTCATCTTTATTTTTCGTTTTGCAGCAGCCTTTCTTTACATTGAATTATCAACAATAACAAAAAGTGCAACCCAAACAAAATGCATTTTAATTAAAAAATGAAATGCATATATTTATTATGTGAATAATTAATTGTGATATGTACATTCATGCATGCTAATGGTGGCAATAATGAAATGTGAAATGCCCCATTTAATGTCTAATGTGACTCTAAAATGTGCCAGGCAGTCCTGCTGAAAATTCATGTGTGGCTTAGGGCTTGTTTCCCATCATAAACACTTTGACTAGAAAAGTAACTTAAAAGCTATGCTCCCACATACAAGCAGTTAGGACTCTGCCATTTAGCCCAAGGCAATCAACTAATAGCTCCTTCATATCTGCCATGGCATGCATCTGCCACTCAAAATGCAAATTATGACTTTATGGCAATTTTATTTTTGAGCATCCTTAGCTCGCTATTTCTCTGCCACTCTCCCCAGGCAGTGGCCTGTGTAGATCCTCAGCAGCACGGTATATAGATTACTGGACGAGGATGCGGGCAGTGGAGGCAGCCGCCATTAATTAAAGTCCACAATGGCTCCTGCACTCAGAGTAACAGATCCATATACAAATTAATCACCCGGTCTGAGTCCCACAGTAAGGCCTTCCTTTTCCACAGCTTTACAGTCCAGTCATGTCCGCTGTTGTTTACCGTGCTCCAGATCGAGAATTAAACCTGAATGAGAGTGATAAATCATGGTGGGGAAACACACAAACTCTCATTGCAGGTTTATGTGTTGAAGAGGCAAACAGAAGGAGAGACAGGGTGAAAAAAAACAGCCTGCAGTCTGTTAATCAAGTTCAAAAAGATGGCTTCGATGTTTTTTCCTCTTTTTTTTTTTTGGGTGGCTAAAATGATAGAGGGTGCAACAATTTTTCTTCTCCTCTCTTTTCTTTTTTTTTTTATGACCACTGCTTTATAGATAAAGGAGATTTATTATGGGAAATCCAAGGAAAATGGAGAGGATACTCTTCGGGATCCCAGATTAGGCTACTAATAGACTAGCTGCCCTGTGATTAATGTGTCTTATCAACACTCATCAGTCATTCTAAATGAAGAAAATCCTGACTCTGTCCAGATGGATAACACTAATTAGGCTAATTTCTTCATCAAACCATATTTAAATGGGTCCTCTTTGTATGTTTGTTTCTGCAGGGCACGTAGTGTCTTCTGGCATCTATATTCATCAATAGGTGTCATATCTATCCATCTGGTAAATAACCTCAAAGTAGGTCAAAAAAAAAAAAAACTTATCCACTGTCTCTCTCTTTTTTTTTTTTTAGGTACCATATCTATCAATACCCTTCGTACTGCTTACACAGCCCCTGGAGAAAGTGAAATCCTGGACTTGGATGACAATCTGTACCTCGGGGGTCTGCCAGAGAACAAAATGGGGCTGGTGTTCCCCACTGAGGTGTGGACAGCACTGCTCAACTATGGCTACGTGGGCTGCATCAGAGATTTATTTATTGACGGACAGAGTAAGGATGTCCGACGCCTGGCCGAGATCCAGAAGGCTGCTGGGGTCAAACCGTCCTGCTCTAAAGAGCCTCCCAAACAGTGCTTGAGCAATCCATGCCAAAACAACGGGATCTGCAGAGAGGGCTGGAACCGCTACGTGTGCGACTGCTCTGGGACTGGATACCTGGGACGATCCTGCGAAAGAGGTAGAACTTTGTTTTTTGACACATTTTGTCTACCTAGCTGCTGATTTTTTGATGATGATTGATTGATGATGCCACATAGTGACACACTTCTTCCTCATTGTGTGCTGTCTTTAGAGGTAGGCATTACATTGTGAAAGTGTGAATATAATCAACATTCCAAAAAAAAAAAAAAAGTTAATCGTGTCTGCTATAGATATAGTATTCTGTGTCTGCAAGGGGCCTCCAGTTGGAACAGTGTCACCAGACAAAGCCTGCAGGTGGTCTTTTTATCTTGGCTGACGGTTGAACATCAGCAACTCTCAAACAGCAGACTGAAAGTAATACAAGGCTGAAAGAAAGAGTGCATGTGGAGATAGACAGCCACAGAGAGGCAGACAGAATGAGTCAGGATACGGCGGGCTGATGTTAGACTATGTTGAGTGGCAGGTGACTGATGCACCACTGAGACACTGCTGGTCACGTCCACCATGCACACTAGCCTGTAAATTGGCTGTCTTCTGCTAACCATTTGCCTCATCAAACCACTCGCTCATGACCAGACCTGGTGCAGAATACTTATTCGGGTCTCTCCTCCAGAGAAGAGAAATAGGAGAAGTGAGTGTCACACTGTGAAATCTTAGAGCTCAATGGCTCGGCTGTAGCAGCCTTTCCCCTGACTCTGCAGTAAATTTCAACATGGGAAGCACACATTTCATAGGTTCGCTTGTTAAAAATAAAACAATGATCCCGTATTGGTGGTGGTATGACTCATGGCATTATAGTCAATATTTGTTCATGTGTTTGCTGCTTTAGTTCACTCTCTTCAAAGTCATTTTTAGCCACACACCTGTCTGAGTTGTGTGCACTGTAGAGTGGGGAGACGTCTCTGGACACAGCAGCCTTCATGTCAGGCATTTAGGCAACCAGTAAACTGTAGTGTCCATCAATAAACATATATATTCAGCAACGCAAGGCATTTTGGGGTACAATTTTATTTATATTTCGCCTGGAGGTTTTGCACTGAAATCAGTTAAAGGGAACCTTATTTTAAGGACTTAAATAATAGACATGCAAAGATTTGTGCATTAGTAGGAATGTAGCTCAGCGGTGGAAGCATTGCTCTCTTTATTCCAATGTGGAAATGTAATGGTTTTGTCAAATCAGTGAATAATTCTGATAAGTGAATGTGATCTCAGGATAATGATGATTATCATTTTGGGCATAATCATGCGGTCTGTGTTTGTCCAGAGTAATAGCAGCTTTTGCTTGAAGTTAGCCCTGAGACCATCTTGATAAACTGGCCTCAACATTCCACTGCAGATCTTTTTTGCTGCATTTCTGTTTTGATGTTACCCTATCAGTAATCTAGCTGAAAGCAAGGAACAAAAAGGAATTTTCTGTCCTCATTAAATTAGACAGATTTATATGCCGGCTAAACTCAGCAGGGTTCTGCATTTCTGCATATTCAGCTTTAGCTTATGGGCCTTTTTGACCAGCGGATTGCCCTTTGACTTGTTTGATTGAAACCTAGTTCGATTACAACAACAACCAGCTGTGTGTGGAATGCAAATCCATTCGCCTGCTAATATGGTCTGCTTTCAGGCAATTATTCTAAAATACGAATTTCAGGCTTATTTACATAATCGGACTGAGTGAACAAATATGTTGGATGTATAGGTCATTCACTGAAGAGAACTGCAATATTAACTTGTATTAATAGCCTCCCATTTGGGAGTAATGAAAATCAACTGACTCCAAGAATAATATTTAACAGTATTTTTGTTCAACCATAGATGAGTGGCTCAGTGATATGCTTATTCTGTTTTCATGAATTAATGATGCCCATGTTCATCAGCCAAAGTGGATATTTTCTGTCTGTAAAACTACTATATATAGTGAATGTATAAGAATCTTCATATGGGCGTCACAAATTTTACCCTGGACCGATACAAAGCCAGCAGTATTTCCTCATATATACAGTACAGCACTCAGGCGGTAAACCTTTTATCTTTCAGCAGTATGTGCAGCATTCATCATGAAATCTCAACAGAGCAATAGTAGCAAATGAGCGGAAACAGTTAACATATGCACAATCAAGGCAAATGTCAAAAAGAGCCCAAGCATGTGACACCGTTATCACAGCGTGATACATCTGCGCAGGGACAACAGCAGGAACACACTCTCTCATCTGAAAAATTTAACTCCAGTTGGAATGTGTCACATCCCACGCAGTTACATGTGTCAGCTCTACATGTGCTCGTGCTATCCCTCCATGCTTTCACTTAAAAAAAAAATGTGTACTGCCTAAATACCTTGTATTTGGGATATAGGATATGTCTGCCTGAGATGCTAGTGTTCGACTGGATAGAAATCCACTGAATCAAATGAAAACAAGATTACACAAATGCACATGATGCTAGACAGATGATGCATTTCATTTTTAAATTTTTTTTTCTTAGGAATGCAGTTTATTCAGTCATGACAAGTTCTGTGAATGCAGACATGTAGTAAAATAGGACAAATGTGTGAACGAAAGAAAAAGAATTTCCATATGTGATGAATACGTCAGCTGGGGTTGTCTCTGTGCTGCTCTGATTTTTCCACATGTGTACTACCATTCTAACTAATGAGTTGACAGGAATTAGGGCATAGTACATGAGGGAGGTGGAGTGGGCAAGGGATACAGATCGTTTCTCTTCAGGAAGATAATTACTTATCCAGAGCGTGTTCTTGGATTCAGAAATATATAATCCACTCTGACTTCCATCTGAAAACAAAAAGCAGTTCTGTGTTTGCATCGGCTTCACGCGGAGAGCTGCTTGTTGGGAGGATTTCTTCGACCGCGACCTCCTGTCCTCCCTCCGAACTCTCAAGCGTCTTCTGGCGTCTCGACTCTGCTGTCGAAAGTTCCCTTGTTTTCTGACTGTCTCTGCTCTCGTGTGTGAGACTGGCATTAGCGGGAGTGTGAGTGGGAGCAGTGGTACGGACGATGGGCCTTGGCGTGCTGCCAGCTGTTTTGATGGCTCCAGATTGCCTCTGCACTGGTAGGATGAAGCAGGCACCAGCAGGCTGAGGAGCTGTCAAAAGAATTACCCCAGCTCTCACTTATCCATGCATGGTGTACCACCCGGTGGCAAAATACAGCTACTGCATATGGCAGAGGAGGAGGAGGACGACGGCGAGTGGAAGGAACAGGAGGTGGAGCTTCGGAACAGAACCATGGCGCTATTCGCCCTATTTTGAGACATTTTAATTAAGCAGACAAAGCAATTTTCCCCCTTGCATCCCAAATGTCTTCCCCTTCATTGTTCCTCCAGTTGCTAATTAGCCCAAATATTAGTCTTCCAGTGTGAGGCTAAAGCAGCCTCCCCAGATGGTGGAGAAGGTGCGTTGCTTCACATGCACATATTCCCTAATGAGATGTGACATGCTGAATTCTAACACTGACAGCATCTGCGTTATTTCACGTGGACAGGGCCTGCAGATGAGCACTTACTGACACACACCTCCAATGAATAAAGAAAGATGTTGAAGATCAATATACAGATCGATACGCAAGTATGCTCACTGTACAATACGCGCAGCAGACATTCAATGTGCTGACATATGCACATGTAAGCAGAGGCTTTGCACAGCGCTTTCACCTCCTCAGCAGTGATATTATTCGTTTAAAATCTCTGGCTTTACGTCGCTGTTGAAGAATATATCATTGAGTGGAGGCGTGAGCCCATAAAATTGCAATATTTTATCGCCATATGTACAATAGGTGTAGAGTGTCTGGCTTCAAAACAAAGCGTACGACAATAGAACACATGCAATCATTATGTAAATCGGTGTAGCTATAGAAAAACTGGTTCTTTGAGCACATTTATTGCTTTTCAGAGCATAAAGCCATTTGCCATTGGTCCGAAGCAAAAGCCAAGAGGTGCAGAATGTTATTGTATAATTGTGAAATGCCCTCAAAGGGGAATATGGCTGCGTTTTAGCATTAAAACACGTTTTAGCCATGCCCTTTGACAGCATACTGTGTGTTAGTCACTATTCACCACACTTGAATATAGTCACAAATTAGAGAGAACTGGTTGTCCCATGCCCTTAAGCGATGTACACAGATGCGTAGAAAATCGGTTGAAAAACATGGAAAATGTGACTGGGGGTTGATTTTATGGGGATATAAGCAAGTGTAGTGGAGTCGAGGTTTGGCTCTGGAAATGTATAAACAGTTAAATTTGTTTGAGTTGGAAAACCTGAAGGAAGCATTCAATTAGCGTCAAACTGGTTGTCGAGGTCTGTGTTTAAGCTGTGCATTAGGGCTTTGGATGTCTGATTTCTCCAGCTTCTGATAATAGGTCCTGCTGAAAAACCCTGACATCAAAGACCAAAGACTGAAGCTTAACTTGTAAATCATTAAACTAAGGGGTAATTCTTCTTTAATATCTTAAATGGGTTGAAAAACCTAATTCATGCATACTAAATACTCTGTATCTTGGCTGTTGCGTGCATTCCTGACAGCACTAGCTGAAGAGGCATATTCCGCCACTCTGAGCTGATCTATTTTCTATGTCTGCTCTCATTTTGTAGCTCTAATAAAGTTGCAGTTTGGTCACAGAGCAGCAGATGTGATGTTGGCCCATGATGCTGCTACCTCTTTCTGCATAGAGAAAAAATAGTCTCCCTGTCTCTAGAAATCCACTCAGCTGGCAGGTTGTCTTCACACTTTTAATAGCCAGTGAGTGTATTTCCTGGATTGTGTATCCTAAGATTCTCAAAGAAGGCTGCAGTGAAGAAGACATGAGCTGCCTTGAATTATTTATGATATCTCTAAGCCATTTCTTCCTGTTTATTATGGATGTTGAACATACATTTTCCAAAAGCCGTTGGCAGTTGTTTTCCGGCAAATTTTGAATTGGGTTGAGCCCGGTGCCCTGATACTGTGGGACATCACAATCCTGTGACATGCAGCTGACAGCTCTCCCTTCTTGCAGAGCCTGTTCTCCTTAGGGGAGAATGGAGGAAGAACTGTGTGCCTGTCTGCCATTGCTCCCCACCTCTCCACATCCGCCCTTGTTAGTAGCACAGCTTTATTTGTTACTTCTCTAAAAGTGCCCGCCCCCCCTCCATCGCGCCCCACAAATCGCTCCTTGTTTTCTTGTGAAAATCAGAAAACAATGTTGCATTGTGCTTTACAAGACAGAAAATGAATGCTTGGTTTAGTGTGGTATGCTCCATCTCCCCTCTGACAGCCTCCTGGTGGGTTGGCACAGACAGAAGCTCCGGCTTCAGTCCTCTCAATTTATTTTGATATTAAACATGGGAATGCCATTAAAAATGACTGGGCTGCCAGGATTGGATTTTTGACAGGTGCTCACTTTGCATTAGGTAATGATTCCCTCACATGTCATTCTCCATATTTTCATATCTGTATTCTGGAGATTTCATATTTATGGCATTTTAGACAATCTCATATGCATCTCAGCTGAGGTGACATTTTGGATGAAATGCAATATTTGCTCCAGTTGTGATTAATTTTATCCTTATATATTATTTATAAGAGGCGCTGCATCATATTGGTACTTTTTCTTTCACCTTAATGTAGGCGTTTGTTTCTCTATTCATGTCAGGCCTCTAAGCAAACTTGATGGAGTTTATTGTATACAGCTGGCAGGTAACAAACCGATGCTGGCACAATGCTATACCATTTCAAAGCATAGATGAACACATTTTCAGCAATATCAGTGCATGTGTTTTTCTCTTTCTTTTGGTTCCATTTTTAGCTAGAGCCTTTTTCTTTTTTTTTTGCAGCTGAAACAGATCTTGTTTCAGCCCGAGACACTTTAAAAGGTGTTAATGCTTGAGCAGGAGTTCTGTACAGAGAGGCACTTAGATCTGTCACTTATTGTTTGACAGAAATAATTCTCACATCCCGTCTTTACCATCAGAAACATAAACCTGAACAACAGACAGTTACGGTTTGTTTGCATTCAGTGTGACGCACAGTTACCTATTGACAATAACTAATATCTGCTCTTACTGGATATAGGTGCTAGCTAATAATACCGCGACAAACATTTTTCATGTATTAGGAGCTTGAACAGTTGCTCCATTTTTTCCTGGCATCTGCTAACAGTTTCCAAATGCAGCTCTTTGCTTTTGCTGCCTGGCAGGAAGCAGACAGTTTAGCAGTGAGAACTCGTTTGTCACACGCCCCTGTCATCTGCAGCATACCCCAGGAGGGCGTGGAGAAATTGGATTTGGGTGAGGAATGTGACGGAGTCATCCCAGGGGATGGATGTGACATTGGCTCTGTGTGACGAGGAAGTGGTGATGAGGTGGTGTGTGTACATTGGTACCCTATCACCCCCACCACTCTCCATCTCCCATCCCTCCAACTCGCCTTCTATCTGTCTCAGCACTGCAGCTGCAGTAATGGCTTTGTTATTGGGTTATGGTTTAGTTACACTACCGGAAATGTTGTTACAACCTCCTGCCAGCGTTAAACAATCTCCCCAGCATTTCTCCAGACGGGTGCTTAATGCTTTGAGTAAATGCAGTCACCCTGAGCAGAAGCTCAATATTCAAGGTCCACAGACTATTACAATTCTGTCACCGTTTGTATTTTTTTTTTCCTTCAGTCAATACCAATTTGTCCTTTTGTAGTTGTAGCTACTATGATATTGCAGGTATAAAAAATGTGGATTGAGTGGAGCCACTTGTTCTGTAGGAGGACATTAAATCTGTTGTCATGATGTGTTCATTGCCTTCAGAATGTTTTTTTTTTTTTTTCCTAACTACTGTTCCAGCATGTACCTGCTTTTCTGCTCTGTGTTGTCACAGAAGGAGTCCACCACCTAATTTGGCACAGAGAAGACAGGACTCAGACTTTGGAGGGAGTTTGGGTAGCTGTCAGCTGTAGTACACAGTGTAATGCGATGCCCGACTTGTGACAAGTCTTTACACACTGCTTTTGGATGACATATTTGGGTACATGCCATTTAGCGGCTGCTTACTCAGTGAGTTTTGAATTGACCCACTGCATTTGTATTGTATTTGTAATTCTAGTAGGCTAGCTGTAGGATTCATCAGCAGTCATAATGACTCGAGGTGTCATTCGAGTCATTTGGACGCAACATCCTGTCTTAAAAAAACACACATGCAAAGCACTTGTCTGGTGAACACATCCAGAGATGCTCCCTGAAGACTGTAGCTGCCCCTGTGTTCCTACTCTTTAAGGGTTTACTATTTCCTCTATCTTTCATCAAGATTTAAAAGAGTGAAAGTCACAACATTAAATTATATCCACAAACAGGACGTTATTTTCAGTAGAGCTGACAGCCCAGGTCATTGGCTTACCATAAAACTGCTACAGTCCATTTTGCCAATCCCTCATCTTGTTTTCTTCCCTATTCTCTCTGCAGAGGCGACTGTCCTCAGCTATGACGGCAGTAAGTTTATGAAGGTCCAGCTACCCGTGGTGATGCACACAGAGGCTGAGGATGTGTCTCTGCGGTTCCGCTCCCAGCGAGCCTATGGCATCCTAATAGCCACCACGTCTCGGGACTCTGCTGATACCCTGCGTCTGGAGCTGGAGAGTGGCCGCGTCCGCCTCACTGTCAATTTAGGTAACGCCTCGGATGTACACAGACTGCAGCAGCAAAGTCAAATTAAGCTTGATAACATATGCACTCTGTCTCCCACACACACATGCACAGACACCAATTATCCTTATTTTTTTTCTTTATACATATATTTTGAATAGACAGAGATGGTGTAAAGACTTTCAATGGCAAGAGTCTGCGGCTCTCTGCTCACTGCCAGTTGAGCACACAGCTACTGTTGCCCAGCAGGGAATGCTCGCTGCCCACTCCATCAGCGAACTCAGATCAGCAGCTATAGATGTGCACTGCTCTAAAGGGAATTGTTGGTAAAGCGCACACAATGCTGTAATCTTTCTAGCTGCTGTTTCATTTCAAAAACACACCAAGTTATCATTCGTATGAGAAAGGTAATAGTTCTTCTATAGATGGAATGTGTTTGTAATATTGCAATTACTCTCAGCTAGCTGTTACCTAATAAGATGAATCCCTTAGTTGTGCCCAATCAACGCTCTGCACACATGTTTCTAATAATTTTATCCACCTATGCACCATAATCATTGTAGGAGGAATGCATGATTGCACATAAATCAGCAACTGCGTCTTAAATGAGCACGTGGAAAGACATGCTTCCTTTGCCTACAGCAAAAAAAAAAAACTGAATATGGAGGATGAAATGAAAGACACACAGACATTCTTGTGTATGTGTGCTTATTTGCTCAGGAAAGAATCCAATGATGGCTGTGAAAAGGTTGATATCTCTCAAACAGAGCAATGCCACACAAATCATAGCCATCTATTTCGTCTTTCCACTGGCTAAACAGAAATGGGCTCCCTAAGCGGAGCCGTTTAGTGGTGCATGCAAAGTAGACAGTCTGTGTCTGCTGTCAACCACAAGGAATCATGTGTCCCACCACGGAAGACAACAGCGCCACACACTGACAGAGCTGACAAGTCAGATCATTGGGACCACAAAAAAAGATGCCCTCTGATGAAAACAACAGTGTTTTTGCTTTCTTTTGAATTGTCTTTGACACATTTTAGAGCTTTTTGTTTTTTTTCTTGTTTGAGTTTGTCTTTGGCCATCAGCCCTTGAAGAATGTCTTCCTTCACAAAGCAGAGCATTCCCTGTAAGGGTAGGCTAGTGTTGGTCTCTGGCTGTTTGCGACCACTTTTCTGCTGTGGTTGACAACACATGACAAGCGGGGCCAAATGGGAAGGAAGGGGGAGGGAGTTCGATCTGGGTCACCTTTCTCAGAGCACGACATGAGCTCAGCCTCAGGAAACGGAGAGGTGAAGTAAGATACAGAAATAGTATAGCTTGGATTAGCTGTAGTAGAAATCAAGTAGAATCAACACAATCGTTAGCTTTTTTCCAGGAAAAAAAATACAAAGTGTAGTGCCACATGTGCTGGTCGTCAGTAGTTAAACTTAGCAAAGCCACAGTTTAGTATAATAGATTACAAATCCTTCACATACAGTAGTTTAAATTAAAAATCAGTCAGGGGTAGTGGTGGAACAAAAATACTGCATATAGGCAGGTAAGATTTTATAAGTGAAAGTAAAAAGTGAATGTACTTATTATGCATATTGGCTTCTACCGAATTATTTTTTTGTAATCTATTATCACAGCTGCAATAGCATGCGCCATTATAATGCTGACTTGGATGAAGCTAATTTGACCTATTTTTAGATGGTAGTGCAATCTATAATAGTATCACGTTTCATAAGTGAATCATAGGTGTTGCCTGTACAGTTGTAACTTAGTAACAAGTTGTCAGAACAGGTAGTAGAGTAAAAGGTACATCATTTAGAAATGGTTGAAGAAGCATAAAATGTAAACACACAAATAAAATATAGTACATGTGGCAAAATGTGTTTCTTAAGTACAGTACTGGGTTTAACTGAATTAATTATCTTTGAGGGGTTTTTTTTGCTACGACTACATTTGTACAAATAGTGCTTTATTTCAATGCAAATTACAATTTGCATTACACTCTGAACATTTTGGTTTTAGTGAGGCTGTAACGTCGTTTAGTAACAGTGACAGAGATGGAAAAGTATCATGACAATATGTTTGTCGCCCTGCAAGTGCAGATAGATGGACATATAGTTAGATGTACAGAAAGAGGATAACAGAGGGGGGGAGTTGAACTACCTTCCAGTTGGCCCTGTCTGACCCTGACCAAAATCTGATGCTCTCATTATGAAGATATCTTCCTTAAAACATTAATCCTTCAGCTTACAATATGTGGAAAAAATGGCCCCATGAAAAAAACAGAAACAAAGCAATGCAAACAACATCATGTAACTAATCCTCAGCTCTTCAGTGTACATTTCTGTAACATGTATTCCAATAAGCTTCTCTGGCATGACTACGCTGCATTGCTTTTAGCAGCTCACTGCAGCTCGGGGCCATGGGTGAAAGCATCAGAGGACGGACAGTGTCCGTGTGTGTGTCCCCAGAGGGGTGGACTGTATGCTTTAATGATGTCTGCAGCTGTAACGTTGAAAGATGAATTTATCTCTCATCTATTCTTCCCCATCTAGATTGTATCAGGATTAACTGTACCTCCAGTAAGTCACTGTTCACCTTTCTTCTTCTTCTACCTCTTCTTCTTCTTCTTCTGCTTCTTCTTCTCTAAGTCTTGTTGCTTTTTAGTCGCTAGAAGTGTTGTTTCATAGCCATGTTTGCTTTTTATTTTCTTGTTATTATATGACCCTGAGATGAAAATATTCTCAAGCCATGTTAAATGGAGTTCAGTCAATGCACTGAAATATATCTGACATGCCCTTTGCTTTGACATTGACATTACATGTTGTCACACCAAATTCTAACAGCGACAAGAACATGAGGAATTCCTGGTGATGTCCAGGAGAGTAATAATCAGAGGGGAGGAAATGGAGGGAGGCTTTAATTAATGACGAACCCAAACTTGGCAGTCAGCTGTGATTTCACACACGTAGTTGTTTTTAATTAATGAACCTTTTCACTCATGAATTCAGGCTGATGTAAAACGCATGCTATAGAAGCGCCGGTATTTTAGGCATGCATGATTTCTCTGTCCTTCCCCTTGCTTTCTTTTTTGTTTAGTTTTTTTGTGTTTTTTTGTTTCCTTTCTTCTTCAGTATTTCACGCCGTTTGTAAATTGATGAGGCCATTCAAAGCACAGAGGAAATACAGAGTGTGATTTTATTATTCTCATTAACCTGTCTCACAGAGCGGAAAGAAAGGGATGAAGAGGGAGGGAGAAAGAATAGATCTTGTTGTGGGATTCACAGTGGACGCGCGTGTTTGTGTGTGTGTGCGTTTGAACAAAGAGGTTACATTGCAGTATTTTGGAAGGTAAATATCCTTGACATTTATTATTCAGGAACAGTGATGAATTAATAATTACTTTGGAATCATAACACATGAGCCTTTTCCCCCTGTTTAAAGATTCTGAGGAGACAGACACTCTCAGTATCAGTAAGTACCGACAGAAATGAGACAGTTTACGCTGCGTAATCGTGCGCCAGACTGTGTCACATACTGTATATAAGGACAAACTGTTGTCTGAAAACACAAGTGTTGGATGTCTTTGTGTGTAAAGCGTTACAGTACTTGAAGGTCACTGCCTGATGAGATGTGGAAACTTACACAACAGAACGCCCCCGTACAGAATCACATGATGTGACCTCTAGACTTGCTCCTCTGAGCCAGCCCTTCTTAACACCTTTCTAAATGCTAAATAGCATTGTTCATGCATCTTGGATTGCATCCCTTGTTTGTGTATGCAAATAAAAAGCTCTAAGCTCTAATTCCCCTCCATTCCACTGCTTTAAAAGGTCATTCTTGGTTTATGAGGATAGTGTGAAGGCATAATCTGTGCACACATAGACATCAGTAGTTGTTATACTAATATTTGCTATTCTGATTACTCTATTTCTACAGTCTTTCATTCTGCAAATACTCTCCAAATCTGCCTCGTTTTACACAGCACTTTGCTGATGTAGGTGCAGGCAGGTAGTCCGGTTTTTAATGTAGAACTGGTGGAATAGGTGCTGAAAGAAGCTCTGCAGAATAAGCAGATCATTTAGCCACTATGGTTAAATGATGTGATGTAAAGCATTATGTGGATTTTCACTTAGATGTAGGAATAATGCAAACCAAAAAAAAAAAAAAAGATCATTCAGCACTGTTCTGTTTTTGTGTTGAAGTAATATACAAACATGGTAAACTGTATGTGTCTGGATCCTGTCCCTTTCTTTTGTTGTTTTTTGATTCTCCAGAACAACACTGCTTTCAAATGACTATTTATCATATTTGCAGAATCAACTGATGTTTGATTCATATCTGCATGTTCTATAGATGTTTAACCACGCAGTGTATTTCAGAGAGAATTGTTTAGATTCTGTCCACGTTTAAAGCAAATGTATAAGTAAAATAGAGAGCAAGACTGGAATCAGCAGGTATTCCTTTAATAGATCCAGACCTAATTGTGTCACAGGAAAATGTTTAATTGAAGTTCTTGGAAAGAACTGTGTTAAGCCAGTGCATTTCCACTTATGAGGAGTTAGCGTTTAATTCCTCCCCCCCCCCTCTCCTTTTTTTTTTTCTAGGTTATTTTTGTCCTCTTTTTTTCTATGTTAATTAATGTGTCTTGTCAGGCGCTGCAGCTCCGGTCAGCTTGGTGGATGAAGAATTTTAGCACCGACTCAAAGAACACATCACTGTCAATTAGGTACCTAGGCTCCCTGGGGCTGCCCAGAGCTGTCTGAAGAAAACACTGCCACTTCGACTTAAATATTGTTAACATGCACTGAGTGACAACAAACCGAAAGTATGAACTAAAAATATCTTGTGACAGATTGCCTTTTTTTCTGCAGTTCTGGTCCTCTATTATTCATTAACTTGAACTGCAGGATAATCACAATTTACAGTGTAGCCGTGATGCAGTGATGAAGCCAGCTTAATGTGATTATTCCCTCCATGACCTTCTTGAGCAGCATCTGAAGGTGTTTTTTTTTTTTCCTCTCTCTGTATCTCTCTCTTGTAGCAAATCTTATCTGAACATCAATCTTTAGTTTTTTGACTTATTTAGAGTGAAAGAGCTGCAGGAGATTTTTTTTGTTTGTTTTTTTTGCATGGATGTTACACCTGTGTGCATGTCAGGAATGATAGATCAGAGAGCGATTTAAGGGGAGTATGCATAAGGAGGTGCATGTTGTCTTGTCAGGCAAAACACTTGAATGTGTTTACTTGGAAATTTTGTGATTTAAACATGTGACAAATATATATATTTGGGCACTACTGTGTTTGTGATTTTAAACATTTGAGCTAAGTAGTTCAAATCATGCGACAATATATACATTCAGAATAGCACTGCCTCATTAAAAACACTAAACATCCTCGGCTTTGGTATAATACAGTTTCGTAGTAGTCAGATTTAAGCTTGGAAATGTAAAAGTTAAACTATGTGGACAGATCGATGCCTTAAAAAGGAGCAAAAAGACTTAAAATAAATGAAATGATCTTCTCTCCTGACAACGTAAAGCATCGTCAAAGAACTGTACAAAAATTACTGGAGGGTAGAGGGATGTCAAACTTTATGTGTTCTCAAAAGTAAGATGGTCTGTATGGTTGTTATTATCGCCCTTACTCCTAAAACCTCCACAATAATTGTGTATTTAATGTTTCTATTTTATATAGGAAATTTTACAAGGGGTATCTGAAATACGCTATAAATATGGGACCAGAAGAGCATAAAATATCCTCCCTGCAGCAAAATAACATTAACCATAAGCCTTTTTTTTATCTTTCTGTACCTCTGCACCACTGACCTGTTTTAAAATAAGCAGCAATTATGGTGATGTTCTTTTACGGCTGCAACGGCTTCATAAAGAGGCTAACAGGTTGGCTCAGGGTTCCCTTTAATATTAGCTGCTTAAAACACGTGAATAAATGCTAGCAATCACCCAAAGTTACAACATAATCAGGGACTTTCCTGTCATGCCAGCAGGTAGTTAACGCGGTATGATTATGCTGTTGTGTTAACAATTCAGCCCTTTGATCACGCCGGCTTTGAGTGCGTTCACTGTTGAGCAGTCTAGAACAAGCAAACATGAATGCAAATAGCTATAAACAGCAGATAAGTATTGATTGTCATAACTTATTGTATTTAACCTCTGCTTGTGCAAACATTTTAACAATAGCTTTTTTTTTTCTCTTAGCAAGGCATTGGTTAGACAAGCAGGTACCGTAGCGTGGCAGCCTGCTAAAGCTTCCCTTTCTGTGTTGCTCTGGCTTTGATGTCTGTGTTGACGGTAATCCAGTGCAGTGGCCTGCTGCTTGGTCAGTGTGTTCCTGTTCCCTCCACCTGTGTGAGTCACAGTGTCAGGGCAGGCGGCACCAGTATCTGACATGTCATCCAGCCAGCCAGAGCTGATTGACTGGATAATCACATCTTCTCATGCGGCCCCGTGCCACACTTCTCCACCGTTCCCTTGGGCCCGGAGTCGGCGAGGCAGGGAGAGCTCACTGTAGATCCATCACAGCAGATAGATCACCATCAGTGAGGGCACTAGAGAGGCTTGGACACAACAGGCAGTGGACTAAAGGGCCTTAATGTCTCGCCAGCAGCTGGTTGTTTTGGATCGCAGACTGCACTACAGGCATAAAAACCGGGACACACAGAAGTGGATGTTGTGCAGGAATGTGCTTCTTCATACAATTGACCTCTTTTTCCCTTTCCCTTTCTTCCCTCCTTGGAGAGCAACAAGGACAGAATGATGGAAGGCAAAGATCAAGCATGCTTTCAAGTCCAACTCCATCCCATTATTTCATATCTCTCCTCCTTAATCCCTCGCCAGTCGTCTGGTTTCAATCCTGCCCCGGTGTTTAGTGCTTACAAAGCAGAACTGTGCCTCTGAGATTGAGTGTGTCCCAGTACTTTGGCACCCTCAGATTTGCATACACATTGCACCGGAGCTTTGAAGATTGCAGAAAAGCAGGAAATAAATAGCCATAAATGGGTTCGGGCGAATGAACCTGGCACCCATCTGAAATGCTCCCCACAGTGGGCAAGGTATCCAGAGCCTGGGGATTTTAATACTGTCACAGTGGCACATCCTCATTGGCCTGTTTGCTTATGTGTACCCAGTAGGTAGGGAAACATCAGAGTTATAGGGCAATTTAAAGAGGCTCTTAGATGGAGGCTGTGCAAAAAATAAAAAATAAAATAAAATAATGTATTACCACGGTTGGACCAATGTGGAATTTGTTAGTGGAGAAATGTATCCTGGAGAGATTTTTTTTTTTTTTCCCTGCTCATGAGATCACAGAGATTTGGTGCAATTTGTCCGATTTATCAAGGATTCTAAATCTCTCCTTGAGGTTTTTTGGCACAGTGATTCTGTGTGACATCTCCATTAGAGCCTGCCAGCAGTGACACACTTCATACAATATTAATACACCGGTTTCAGTATTCAGTGAAGGAATGATTAAGAGATTGTTTTGTTATTAGTTAAAGGTTATTCAATTGAAAAGCAATTTGGTGCAATTTGTGGTTTTCATGAAGGTGCGTCAAACCTAATGAAAAAAATCAGTGCAGTTTCAACTAAATACTGCTGTTTCCAAAGCAGCCATTCATTTTCACGGGTGCTGATAAAGATCACATTCTGTATTTTCTGTTATTTTGTATGACTGGATTTCCAGGAACAATGGCTTGCTTGTTCTTTTTTTTTTCCTTATTTGTCTCCCACCACCGACCACACTGTTTTTATTATGCAAGTGTTTCTTTCTGCATCACTATTTCATTTCATGTGGTGGACATGAGAGAAATCATACACTGGGTTGCTCTGTCATAGGTAAACAAGATGGAGAGTGATGCTCAGTGGTTGCTCAGTCGTAGCCTTTTGGTAGTTGTTTGCTGCCACCATGTGGCCTGATAGGAATGTAAAAACCTAACTCAAAAAAGGAGATCAGCTCAACGGAAAAGTCTAATTTGTCTTTGTTTCTTAATTGAACTAAAAGTGCGGGCATTAATACATTTACAGAGAAACAGTTAGTTTGAATATTGTCTTATTGCCTCCCTCCTCCTGGTTCAAAGAAAATGGTGTTCAGTGAGAATTCAGAAATTTGATGCCCTATCTAATGGTGCGAACAGTACTGCAAATGCAAGTCAGAATGATGTGTTTTTATGGACCATTAACTATGTTTACCTTAATGTTTTCTGCTTCTGTCCAACTACTTCACTCATTCACTCTGTCCTCTTTCGATCTCCCCCCTCTCTGATTCTCTTTATATCTGCTGTTTTTATTTTTTTTTTACCTCTCTGTTATGAGTGTGTGTATGCATGTTAACCGTTGTTTGGACTGTCCTGCAGGCAAAGGTCCAGAGACTATTTTTGCGGGTCAGAACCTGAACGATAATGAGTGGCACACAGTTCGTGTGTTCAGGAGGGGCAAGAGTTTGAAACTGACTGTAGATGATCTCCTGCCTGTGGAAGGTACTTCTCACCCTCTTTTTTTCTGATAAGTAAACAAGCCATAACATTTGTTGGGCTGTAAGAATCTAGGTTAGATGGATGTTGTTACAAAATAAAGGACACCTTCAAGTGTATTCTTATGTACTGTAGAGTGTTCTGACAGACTCCTCAAGACTAAAATTAAAATTCAATAATAGGACCCAGTGTGCGGAATATTTCCTTGTAGGGAAATGTTACCCAGTTAAGCTACTGGTACTCTTTATTAAAAGACAAAACTGTTTATGTAGATAGACTGTCTGTGGGACTTTGTTGGCATTTAGTAGTGGGAAGTGTAACAAAAAATTGTAATTTTGAACTTATATATTGTACTTTTGTAAAGAGAAAACAAAAATGCTGTAATGTGTTTTCTAATGCACAAGTTCTGGAGATTTCATGACTGCTAGTCTACATTAAAAATCTTGTTTTTTTTTTATTTTTTTATTTTTTTTTAAATAGATTTGTACCATCCATGTGTTAACTGTTGCAATATGCTTGTACAGCTTAAAGGGAATCATTCTAAAGTGCTACTTTAATTTATTTTCAATCTGGAAATCAGATTAATGTCATGATGTTAATGTCATAACTGAGAAGATCTGCAGTGGATCCTTTATTTGCAAAGCAATGTCCCCTTTAACTGTCTTATACCCCCAATAACATCCTCTCTCCCTCTACTAATCAAAGGTCAAATGGCGGGTGACCACACCCAACTGGAGTTCCATAACATTGAGACGGGCATTGTGACAGAGAAGCGCTTCATGTCCATGGTGCCGTCCAACTTCATTGGCCACCTCCAGAGCCTCTCCTTCAATGGCATGGCCTACATAGACCTCTGTAAAAACGGTGACATTGATTACTGTGAGCTCAATGCAATGATTGGCTTCAAGAACATCATTGCAGACCCTGTCACCTTCAAGTCGCGCTCCAGCTATGTGACTCTCACTACTCTGCAGGCATACTACTCCATGCACCTTTTTTTTCAGTTCAAAACCACCTCCTCCGACGGCCTCATCCTGTATAACAGCGGGGATGGAAATGACTTCATTGTGGTGGAGCTGGTCAAAGGGTGAGTGGATGCTTTCCTGAGAGCAAGTGCAGAAACTTTGAATCTGATTTTTTTTTTTTTTTTTTTCTGACATGGATCTGATAGTTTTCAATTTTGTTACACCACCAAGCACCAAAAGATCTGTGACAAGCAGGATATGTTGTTCTCTTTGGAGTGTATTTAACTTTTCTGTGGTGTTTTTGCATTGCTTTGCTCAAATTTTGTAATATACCAAATAACCAATATGCAGACGTGCACTTGACCACTAAAACTGTAATAGCTGTAGTTGACCCTCAAGTTTTTGTTGTGCCGTTTTAGCTGGCAGTGCCACAGTGTCCTCTTTACACACATTACCAACTAGGGGAGACCTACTCACCGCCAGAAGTCCAGCAAATACCAAAAGCAAAAAAAAAAAAAAAAGGGTTTAAACTGTGCAGAATTACACTTATACTTAGTGTAGGTGATGTTTATTTATGTAAGAATCTCCATATAAATGGATTATGATTTTACAAATGCTGCTCTTCATAGTTTCCAAACATAATAGAATTTTTGACAGTTTTTTGTGTCACTGTGGGACTTCAAATTCTTTTCTTATCACCTCCATGCCAGAATATTTACTGAAAGAGCTGTCGGCTATTACTGTTCTTTTTCATCTTCATGAAGGCACAGCAAATACCCGACATAAAAGGGAATCAACTACACAAGGGTGTTTTTCTCATTGCTGAAATGCAGCTATAGAATAACCTTCTTTTAAGTAATGCCTGAAGTTAGGGTATTCAATGTGCTGAACATTGAAGTTGCACAGTTTAATTAAAATGAGCATGCAAATCATAAATTGCCTGTAAACCAAAGAATTTAAGGCCGATTCGTTCAGCGTAGCCCAGAGCCCTTTGTTAATTCTGCTACCTGCCAATTATTTGTCTTTTCAGACAGCTGCACTTTGTGATAGTCTTATATCTGCACATTTAAACACAGAAACACACTAGCACACACACACACACACATACACTTTTGCTCCAGTTTTCAGATATTTATTATACTTTTTCTACTTATTTATGTTAGTGTTTGCATTATATTCTAATACATTTTGTCGGCTAAGGTCAAAGACAATGTTTGTGAAGAATGCTGTAAATCAGGGGTCTCGAACTCCGGTCCTCGAGGGCCGCAATCCTGCAAGTTTTAGATGTTTCCTTCTTCCAACACACCTGATTCACATGATCAGGATCGTTATCAGGCTTCTGCAGAGCTTGATGATGAGCTGATCATTTGTGAAATCGTATTTTTTTCAGTCTTTCTGATAAGAAACTGCTGGTAAGTACTTTCATGATGCTAACTATCTGCTTCCAGTTACCTGCACTATGTGTCCGACCTTGGGAATGGAGCCCACTTGATCAAAGGCAACTCAAACAAACCCCTGAACGACAACCACTGGCACAATGTCATAATCTCCAGGGACACCAACAACCTCCACACCGTCAAGATCGACACCAAGATCACCACGCAGACAACCACGGGAGCCAAAAACCTGGACCTGAAGGGTGCGTATGCAGAATTTATAGATTTAGTTTTTTTTAAAGATTTCAGTAAATTGAGGCAGTGGCCTAGAGATGGAGAAGTTCTCTGATTAAAAGGTTCCACCAGAAGGACAACTTAGAGCTAAAAAGTAACAATGCTTCACTCCACTCATTACCAGCAGTTAAGTACCTGTGAGCCAGACTACAACATTCATCTGCTCCGTGGCCACCACTAGCAATGTCCAACGTAGCAGAGTGTTCGTGGAAAAGGGCTATTTGTGCTCAGCGGGCCGACCTTGAATTAAATTTCTTTGAAAGAATTATCAGCTAACACTATAAAAAACCTTTGCAACTGGAAGGATACCGGCATAATTACTGTTCTACCTTGAAGAATGTTGTAATTGTTCTTATCAGAAATTACTAATGAAACAGTAAAGGCAAATGTCTGTCAATGAGCGAAAGAAAAAAAGAAAGAGGTTCCTCGAGCAAGACTGACAATAATGAACCTCCTGCACTCGTCCACTCGCATAAAAAAACTTCAAATGCCTGTTTGACTTTTGGTCTTTAAATGCCGTTTGTACTGTTGTGCTTCGGATGTGCTTGTTACTTTACTGCCACGAGCATGATAAGGTGAGCTTGGTGCTGAGTTTTATTTCCACTAGGGGTCAGTGTTGCCATATTTCTTCTTCTTCTCTCTACAGGTAACCTTTATGTCGGCGGGGTGGCGAAGGAGATGTACAAGGAGCTGCCCAAACTGGTGCACGCTAAGGAGGGCTTTCAAGGTTGTCTGGCATCAGTGGATCTGAACGGGCGGCTCCCAGACTTGATGTCAGACGCTGTTGACTGTGTGGGACAGATAGAGAGGGGATGTGAAGGTGAGTCAGCCCAGTGAGGAAACTCTCAGCCCAGAAAGGATACTTTTGTTGGCGATAAGTTGCTGCCAACTTTTTTTTTTTGTCTGTGGAGTTTAGAACAAGTTTTAACTGAAGTTTGCATTTTATTCGTTTACGTCATTCACAAAAATGTTCAATTTAAATCTAATTTCACTGATTAAAAACAAAAGATGTCTTTATTTGGTTATTTTGTTTTTCCTTCATTTTCACAAAACTTTCTTAAGGGGTCATTGCCACACCGTGCAATTCAGCTCAGCTCTCCCATTCGTACGCTTGTCCGACAAGGACACAAACACACACACACACTGTGAAGCACACCCACCCAGGCACCCACACTGACAACCTGTGGCTCGTAGTTTAACATCCATAAAGTGTGTTAGTATTCTGTTAGAATGCATCAAGCTCTGACACTCCTCCACAGGCAATCATTTCTGTTTCACTTGGCCATAATCTGATTATTCTCTCTGCCATATTTGTACTGCCAGTGTTATTTCCCATTTTATCCCCATTCTGTTTTGCTCTATGCATGCTTGCTGGATCTGAGAGTTTGCCAGAAGCAATCCTTTTGAATTATGTATGAAGCCTTTGTTGCATGCATGAATATCATTTGCCCAGTCTAATGTGTGCACCATATCCAGAGACAATATTTGATTTATTTTTCAGCGTCAGTCACTTAGTTTAATTTCACAATTCATCCACTCTTTTTCTATTGAGTACGCAACTTCTGATCTTTTCATGTTCCCACATTACAAATGTAATCAAATTCGGCGCCCTGTGCAGGTCTGTCAAAGTTGCTGTTTTCATTTTTGCGCCACACAGACTCAACGGTGGCTCTCAACGGAATTGATAACACATTTATTGGATTGTGATGACTGACTGGCTAAGTAGCGTATAGTTGCTAATGGTATGTGAATAAAGCAGGGGCAGCAGATTTTCTATTTCTCTAAATGTAGCTTAACACAAAAAAGCAAAGCATATTCATTTCTATTATTCATGGCAATTGTTCGGTTTTGTATCGTAATGCTTCTGCCATTTTGAGACTCGCTGCTGTTGAAGTTTGGCTTAACCCAGCCTCCATTATACAATATAATTTCACCCCCTCTGGTTCTTTTCGGAGGACAAACATCCCTCCCTCCTGTCTCTCCTGCTTCGATAGTTTGTGTTTCTGTTACTCCATCTCTGACGTCTTGGTGCTTTTACTAACAGCTGGTATACTTTGCCTTTTCCTTTCCTATTATTTTGCTGACAAAAGTTGCATTGATGAAAGCTGACTTGCAAGGTAGATAGCTTTGTCTGTTTGATACAGAGTCTGATGTCCCTCCTCCACCTCCTCCCCCCCCGTTTGCATCTGCAATACCTCTGCCCTCCACGTCTCCAGTCTCTACCTCCACAATTTCCACATGTCCCCGAACAGGATGACTGCCTAATTTGCTATTCACCCACCAGCCATAAGGAATGGGCTTCGGTCCCATAGGAATACAAGTTCCATTACCATCTTGTATCACAGTCTATGGGGCTCAAATTTTGATTTGCGCTCACATATTGTATGTTGTTTTAATTTAACCTAACTGTGGCTATTATTTTCTTTTATTTTTGTCCACATACTGTATGTGTAAGAGTTTTTTCTGCATGCCTTATAATAGTGATAACACCAAAGTTTTATCCCGCATGGACCTCCTATGAAGCATACTCAGGTATTAACTCAAACATCAGTCGATTTTTCTGTTGTACATCATATTAATCATTCTAGGAGCACAATGCGTACCAATTACATGTTCCAGTTGTCATCTTTGGTGCCACTTTGTACATAGAAGGTAGGCTATTTCGAGCACCACTGGCCAGTAACTATAAAGTCAGTTCAAATGCATTTTGATATAGATTGCTACATTATTTGCAATGAGCATAATTTAAAATTTAATTATCTTTCTCTTAGTGTCTTGCATATAAATCAGAATAATAATAAAATCAATTAAATGTTGAAATATATGTATGGCTCGAAATCTTCATTGTTAAAATGATTATATATATATACATATTTATAACTATGCTGCTGTACATTTGTTATTTAAACGTTTATTTGAATCAGTCATAAGTCAGTTACTTAATATGATCCATCATATTTGTGCCACAACATACAAGATTTAGCAAGCAGTAGAATAATTTAGATATCCTGTAGTTGGATAAAATTGTGTCTTTTACATTTCCAGTTTTGTGTGGGCTACAGCCAATGCTTAAACTATGATCCAGTTACCATAGCTACTCTCATGTCTGAGCAGCAGCTACTGTGACTCCACTTTACTCAGACATATAGAGAATACATAAGGATTTGATTGTAATGTTATTGATTTTTTTCTGCATTTACCAGCTGAGCTACTGCTTTTAAGATCTTGTGAGAATACGAACATACACAATAGAAGGAATAAACACTGCCATCATGTGCTCCACGTGGGTTATTATGACTGTAAAGGGGAATCCTTTATGTAGTGCTATTTGTGCCTATTTTTTTTTTTTTGTCATAATATACTATAGATTCACATGGAGATAATAATAAATAATGACTGACAATGAACAGTGGTCATTATATAGTCAGCAGACCAGTTTCTTAGTAATTACAAAATTGATATATCTCATAAACTCATAAACATTAAAATAAATATCATCCGTTCACAACAATCCTTGTCATTCCACTAACATTTCCCCATTAACTGAACTCTGAGTGACACAAACAGACGATAGCAAGACGATCGTTTGTGTGGGTATTGCATATTGAGGCAGACTGACACAATGACTAAGTGCCTCCTAGAAGGATGGAAAAGACAGATGAACAAAAATGAAGATTAAACACTTTGACTGGAGGCAACATTACATTGATTTTTTAAAAGTAATGTGATAATTCAGACCCCTAATGATTATTGTTGTCCTACGACTGCATTCACATCTGCCAATATCATATATTTTCCGTGATCAGATTGCGATCCGACCGTGTTTAATCGAGTTGTGAAAGATACACTAAAGGATTGTTGTCTAGATTTAGGTTGTCATCTGATTCATCAGACATATTGTCACACGTGGGCAGGGACACGTGATAATCTGGGCAAAGAAAGGATTACAGTTAACACTGTCAACATGTTGTAGTCGTTGGTGTAAATATGGAAACATTACAGGAAATCAGTGTTTTCTGCAACCTTAAATTAGTGCACATTTTTGCATTTTAATGTTATGTATTGTCCTATTTGAATGTAAAAAGATTAAATTAATTTATATATGTTTTAAAATTAACAAGTTCATCTAAGCATTACCACTATATGGACGTATAAATATACCTTAAATCTTTTTTTAGGTGGGTTTTTTTAATCTATGAGGTCTCAGGTGTGTCTTTCTACTGACTGTATTTAAATTAATTGAGGGTTCAGGCAGGCACTTGGCTACAATTGGGAAATTTGTGACAGCATCTGTAGGAAGAGAGAAAAAAGGACATGAGTAAATACACAGCTAGTACTGTATGTTTGTTCTGTGTGTGCTTCCATTTGCAGAAGCCTATTGTCTGTATGTTTAACATGATATTTAATTTCACCATGAAGTCAAGCTGTAGACTGTGCTGCCTGGTGTTAGAAAAGTCTGCTCACCAAGTTGCTATTTGTCTCCGTATGCAGGCCCCAGCACTACGTGCCAAGAGGACTCGTGTGCCAACCAGGGTGTGTGTCTGCAGCAGTGGGAGGGCTTCAGCTGTGACTGCAGCATGACGACATTTGGAGGACCGCTGTGCAATGACGGTAGGATTTCCCTTACTGTCGTTTTTAAGTATCCAAAGTCCAAATAGTTCTTCTATTTGTTTTAGTTTTTTGAGCCACGTCATTTTTTGCATATATTTTCTGGGCCATCTTTTTTTATTTCAATGAAGAACTAATAAATCACACAGAATAACGTACCTTGCACATATCTCTCAGGATTAGATGCAGAGTTCATTCCTTTAGACAAGCTAAAAAGGCTGGCAGGAAAATCTTGGTATCATATATTTAAAGGTGGGAGTTATCACCAACAGCAGGACATCTTTTTTTTAATCTCTTGCTTTCACACTGCATTCAGTTTCAAGCTCATTATTGTTTCCTGTCTGTGTACTATTTTTGGTTTCCTCGTGACGCACAAAAGTTGCTAGAAATGCACTTGCATAGCAAACTCATCCACTCAATTTAAGCAAAGGTCCAAACTGTTGTTGCACAGGATAACTATGTTACAACTTGGTTAATTAGACTGAATCTTGACACAGTTTTTATGTTGGTAGTTTTGCTATGAATATATTGTCTCTCCACTGAGGGAGATGAAGCAGAACCCTCTGGGGTAGAAACTTTGACATATGTGACAATTCAGAGAAAGCTCATTAAAAAGGACTTGAGCCACTAGAGGGAGCAACACACATTGTGATCTGCTAAATAAAACATCAACAGCATGTCAAACAAACAAACAAATAAATCATTTTGACCAAAAAGTGCTCTTTATTTTTAGTGGAGTTTTACCAGAATGAATCCATACATCAGTATAGAATTACAACACACACACACAGATTACAACTTTTTTTTCTTGCCGCATAATGTAATTTAAAAGTTTGGTGATATTAATCTCTCTTAAAGACAGTTAAATAGGCGTTTTGTTTGATGGACTGTGTGCTCGTTAATGTTAAGCTTTGAGAGAACTAGGGCAATGTCTGCTCCACCTTTAGAAAATGGGCTACTTCCTTATGCAAAACATGCATAGGGGATTTTGTTTGGTCATTATTTTCTTCTGCAGCAGTTCACACAGTAAGGGGTGAATGGGCAAAGTGCTGAACTGCATTAAGGAGAAAGGAACAGAGTGGGCACTCCGGAGATGACACAAAAGCAGAGGAGAGAGCACCATAAATGTTAATGCATTCTGTGTCACTTCTACCAGCTTGATAAGACCCCATCTTTTGTTATCAACGGAAAGTGTTAATAGATTCTTGTGCAGCCTCGTAGCCTGAACATATCTGCAGCCAATGATAACGCTAAAAGGATTCTTCTGTCCGTGATATGTGAGCTTGAGTGTAGCCCGTCCCGATGCCGGCCCTCCTTTTGCTCGTTCTGCTCTACCTTTCATTCCTTAGACTTGTGTTTGGATCAGCAGAGGAGTGGGGCTGAGGCGGGGTNTCGCCTTTGTGGGGGCCATTGAGTTGTACGGCTGACTGAAACTTCCCAACCTCACAGCGCGCTGGCCGCTGAATGGGGCTCAGCGTGGGGCGGCTTCAGTCATGAGGAGGTGGGCAGGCCAGATGATACATGCTTGTTAGCAGAGTAAAGCATCTCAACTGTAATTTTTCCGGGGGGGGGGGTGGGGTGGGGGGGGATATTTTTGTAGGCGAACTCACCATGAACCTTCCTCGTGTGTTAAAGGGAGAAGAAATACAGTTTGGAACTTGTTTCTTCCCTTCTGTCATACATATTCATCCTATTCAGACCCATAGAGCTCATTGACAGCATTGGGAACAGAAAGGCTCACAGGGCATGTATGCATACATTATGTCTGAACAAAAGTGCTCTACCTGCTGAGTCTAGTTACTCTATCTAGTCTCATTATTCTGGCTGACCTGACAAAACAATAGCATAGATCAATGTGCAAGGCCAAAGAATGCAATATGTAACCAAAAAGAAAAACACAACACAAAACATACTTCCCGAGAAATCTGTTTCACTATAGATGAACTGAACTGCTTCTCAGAATAGTGATGCAAGACAGCCTGATGCTGCCAAGGAAAATCTGCAAGTAGGAAAAATGAAGCTGGAGATGGTTGGGCTTTATCTGTGTTGATGGATTGTCATGGGGATAGAAGGGGGGGAGAAGATGAGGGGGTAAAGAAGGAGAGGAGCATCGCTGAAGAAAATACCACTTTTTACCAGATGTATTTGCATAAGCTGAAATGCAGGCAATTTACAACAGAGCAATGGGTCTCTGAGAAAGCAACTTACATGGGAAGCTCAATGCATTTCCAGATATTTCTCCAGTGGGTAGTCTTGGCACCCTGCCTTATCACAAGGAGAAAAAATCCATTTCACAGCCCCTGGCCTCATAACATTTAGCCAGGATGAATTGTACAGCTGTCAGTCACAAATCATAAGGGAGCTAATATTATGTCTGATACTACAATGCTATTGCAGTGTTCGGCTTGTGTAAATTTCAAAATGTACATCATTTTGATCGCTGTGTACTGATACTCGTGTGCTGTTGCTGCAAATCAAGCCTTACTTTCTTCAAAGCTGAAATGTGGCGCACTTAGCGGTATGTGACAGTAGTTGACAGTGACCTACAATTAAATTAATTGCTTTACAGTCTCAGTTATTATACGAGAAAACGCTCGTCTTGTTTGTATTATTAAAATGATCTAGACTACAGAGTCTCTTGCACATGCTCAGTTCCTTGTGGAGAGGTGAGTAAATATCCATAGGAGAACAGAGAACTCCCACATGCTGTCCTTTTGTTAGGGATACAACAATTCAGTTCTTCATCAGGTAAAGCTGTGAGACAAAGAACACGCCAGGCAGATATACGCAACACTTCCTCAGGTGAAGACAATAAGTGTGATGAGCTGTCAGGTTTTCGGTCCCTCAGGCTGTATGCATTTAGTCATTTAAAAGGCACAATCCAACATCAACTATGGACACAAACTGAAACTACACCACTCTATCTGTTCCCTGGAAATAATAACATTTATCAACTTATCCAAAATCATATCTTCCAAAATGATAGTTGTATGGTAAATCTTGTGTGTGATATTGTCACTATGTTGAATAGGTTGCCATATTACAAAATCCCTGCATTCAGTCACAAAACAGTAGAAATAGGGGGAAAAATTTATTCGAAAAGAATTCATAGACTTCCCCAGCAGAAGTACATAAACACTGGGATGATTAAAAAAATGTATAAAACCATACAGACACCAATGTTTTCATCTATAACCAAACAGCCAACTACCCATTAACTCCAGCCAGCTGCTTGATTCTAATAACATAGTTAAGACAACAAGATTTGATTCATTTTGTGTGTATATGTATGACCATTAGCCTCAGCAAGCATTATGATTATGATCTTTCCTAAACTGTGTTCTCCATGACATTTCGAAGGACACTTACTTTCTTCCAGATTACTATCTAACCTAACCTTCTAAAATGTAGTTAACATTGTAAAATGTTCAATTTTTACCCAAAGCCAGATGTGTTTCCTAAGCCTCACCAAACAGTGAGTGAAAACAAAAGCAAAACTAATGTCTTCAAATCGCGTTTCCTACTATGTCATCGTCTCACCTTGCAGGGAGAAAACATGTTTCTATCAAAATGTATATGGTAATGCAGCTCCATTGTACAGGAATGTCATTTTTGTGAGACTGGGTCGACGTGTGTGTGATGAAAAGTTTGTCCTGCTGAGCATAGAGCGCAGATTTGATTTGGCGTTTTGATAAATATCAGCAAAATACCTGATGACAAAGCATATTAGGAACTGCGCTGATTGAACAGACAGGGTGCATCCTCTAGATAAGAGGCGGGATTAAAAACATGTTCACCCTTAAAACAACCTTGTTTTTACTGAATATGTTTGTTGTAAAGCAATACATTAACCTTCATGTGAGTTGCCTCGATAAACCTGCAAGTGTCAATAAATAGGAAATAGCTTATACCATAAGGTGTAATAATTCTTAATTACATAGGTTTTGGTCAGAAATAGCTGTTTACAGACTGTGTGGGCTACAACGCACGAGAAGCCTAATAACTCACTACATGTTTATAATCAGGAAGGCCAACTCAGGAGGCGATAATTACAATCAGTACGCATGATGGAAGAGAATGTGTCAGAGGGCCCCAAATGTGGGTTTTCACAGCCAATTTTTTTTTTTTTCTCCAGGAGTGCACGGCCCCAGGCTCCCACAGCTGGCTTTTTTCTTTTTTTTTCTTTCCTATTTGCTGGCTGCTCTGTATGCTTGTGGAGAGCCCTGAAACAAGGCTTAGATACATCTAAAGAAGCCACAGGTTACAGATTGTAGAGTTGTAGATTGGTGGATTTCCATTTTTTATGTTGGTGGTGCCTTCTAATTGGCTAATCCTTCTAATCCATCTGGCATGTTGTTTGTCAATCAGTTTTACCTGATGAAGGTCTAAAGGCTAAAACATTGGATTTCCAGTGAATTTTTTCCAAGTAAAAGTGGCACTGTGTAGGAGTTCTCTCTTCTTTTAATAATGGATGCAGTCAAATTAAAGTCAAATAGAAGTAGTAAGGACATGGTATCAGATCTATTGTGTAAATTATCCTCAGAGACAATAGGCCTTCTAAAAATGTACCCAAACTTTGCTTTTGGCTTTCTGAAAATCTCCTTTCCTCTGAGCTCTGCAACTGTACAGCAAGAATGGAGTATCAGTAACATGCCATCACTTTTATATAAAAAAAAGTGAAATAAATGTCTTATCTTAAGTTCCCATATCTAAAGGGTATCTATAGTAAAACACAGGGTGACATTGCGTTTTCAATTAGTGCGTAATTGATAAGAATCTCACCATCTAAACACCTTTACACAGGACTGCATGTGTTGCATGTATCCACATACACTGTCCTGCATTTAATTTTTCAGAGCCTTCCCTCGTTTCTTAGCTGTGCTTTGAATGTGTTATGATAAAAGTCTTTCAGATTCTCAGAACAGCGCTGCACCTTTCACTTCAGAATGATTGGCAAGATGATGACATAGATAAAAAATTAAAAAAAAAAGCTTCAGATCTTC